GGATGCATATATATATATATATATATAGTGCATTTCACGTACGAATGGATGCGTACGCATTTGGGATCGAATGGGTTTTATATATATATATATAGTGCATTTCACGTACGAATGGATGCGTACGCATTTGGGATCGAATGGGTTTTATTGCAAAATTTCCTCCGCTACTTTTAATAACGAGATACGGACGAGCTCAGATCTCAAGTTCTCTACTCGACAACAAATCCCCAAATCCATCTCTCTCTCCCCCAAAAAATCGATCTCTCTTCCCTCTTGCTCTCGTCGTCGATCGCTCCCTGCCGACGAAGTTTTTGCTCTCGTCGATCGATCCCTGCCGACGAAGTTCGTGCTCTCGTCGATCGATCCCTGCCGACGAACTCTCCTGCTCACAAATCTCGCCGACGAACGCTCTTGCTCACAAATCTCACCGACGAACAAGTCCTGCTCACAAATCTAGCCGATGAACTCCGCCGTCGACCCCCGCCGCCAACTCCTCTAGACGAACTCCGCCAAATCACAATGTAACTATTTGCGGACTGCCTGTGGATATATATAGCTATATTATCTCTTTCCTTCTCTTTTCAATTATTAATTTTTGTAAATGGTCAAAGTTCACATGAACATCTGTTTCCAAATTTAAAGGGCTTAGATCTCAACCACCCGTCTTTAGTTTCAATTTGTGTCAGTTGAGATCTATGTTTGGTTTTGTTAGAACAATTATAATCGCCTCTAGCATTTCAAGTGGAAAGTTCCTTTCATACCAGCCTCTAGCATTTCAAGTGCTAAACCATATCCATAGACAAGGGTTGGAATCTAATCGATGTTTATATTTTCTTTATTTAAAATCTTCGAACTTGAATACAGTTTCAATATCATTCTCTGAATTTTCTAGAATTCGAACACGAATATTTTTGATAATATGCGGGAGTATTTGTCATATACTATAGTTTACTTATTTGATTAATAAATGTTAATTATTGTAGAAAATGCTATTTCCAAAGGAAATTAAGGACACGTATATCCATCTCTAAGCCCAGTGTGGACAAAATCCTAATTATTGTACCCCTGGTCTTTTTGCAGTTAGTTTAATTTTACTCGAATTATAAATTTTTCCTATGTCTCTTTCCAGCACATGTATATGTTAAATTATGTATATGTTAAATTGTTCAAAATTGGCAGATTGAAATGGCTTCATCATCAACTGTGGAAGGTAACTCATGTGTTGAAGTTGATATTAGATTCATATTGAAACAATGCGAGTGTGGTGAATTAGCGGATGTGAAGATAACGAAGTCGAACAAGAACAATAACCGTGGTAGAATTTACTACTCGTGTAAAAGGCAAAAGTGCGGCTCGTTTTTGGGCTGGTGCAAGATTTCATCAGTTGAACAAATACCACTCGTCATTGCCCCACCAGAGGCACGTGACTTGGTTGTTGTATGTGAAAAAGTGTTGTGGAAAATGGTTAACTGTTATAGCTTTTTTGTTGTCTTTTTCTTTGGCCATGAAAGAAATTATGTGATGTGTTGGAATGAAACAAGACTTTGTAAGTGAGGAAATTATGTGTTGTGGAATCGGTATTTTGTAATGCTTCACGCTTTGATGTGTTGGAATGAAACAAGTCTGTTAATTTTTGCTTTTTGTGTTGAAATAACCGTGGTGTGTCTTCAACTTCTATTAATTCTTTCATTCGAGGAATCGGAATTACAAGAAGGTAGGAACTTGCTTCTCCTATTTATTATATGAAAAAGCCAATGAGCATGCTTGTGTACTGAATTAATGCAAGAAACTGCAGGAGACCTGTGCATTGTGGGTTTATCAAGACTTGTACATTGTTTACTATTAGCAACCTCCAACTTTCCTTCAAATAATTTATTTATTACTTTTTTTTATTTGGTTTTTTTTCTTTGGTCCATAATTGGATGAAAGGAGCAGTGGTGTTTGTGTATTTACAGGAAATTTTGGCAGTGGTTTAATGTAGTAGTTAGCTTCTGCGTGGCAGACAATCTCTATAAGGAATGAAAATAGCTTAAGTTTTAGTTAGGCTTTTACCATGTTACAGAGTTTTTTAGTTATTTACTTTTCCCCCCTCCTGTCTGCAGGATATACTAGGATTAGTTTTCATCCATCTTTCAATTAGTTTGGCTTATGATTGGCTGATTGTTGTCTACATATAAGAAAATACGGAGTACAAATTACAAGTCAATTTCTGTTTAACATCCTGTTGGAATTTTGAGGCCTCTTGGTAGTCGTATTAGAAGCTGTTTTCTGCTAGCTTCTTATCCTATTTTGACTTCCAGAATCATACATAAAGTTGTACACTTACAGAACTAATATATAAGCATTAACTACATCCTGTAGGAATGGAATGTTACAAAGACTGAACATCCATCCCAAGTACAAAACAATCAGGAAGCCTTACAATCAACAAGTGCAAATAACTGTAAATAGATCTATAACAAGTGCAAGCTACTGTAAATAGTTCTATAACAAAGTTTTGAAAGGCAAGCATTAACTGCATCCTGTAGGAATGGAATGTTACAAAGACTGAACATCCATCCCAAGTACAAAACAATCAGGAAGCCTTACAATCAACAAGTGCAAATAACTGTAAATAGATCTATAACAAGTGCAAGCTACTGTAAATAGTTCTATAACAAAGTTTTGAAAGGCATCCTTACAATAACAATCAACAATCCTTACAATAATCTCATGACACTGAACTTTTGAAAGGCAATCCTTACAATAACAATAGGTAACTAAACATTTATTCAGAGGCTCCAGTAGCCCTTCCTTCGAAAAACTCGCCTAGCATTCTGTCGAGATCCTCTGCAGTGTATTTGATATATTTCTGTGGATTCTTCCCGCCCTCAACAAGTGGCCTGAATAAATAACAAAGATGAGTTCAGGGATATTACCATGAAAGGAATATTTGACATAAAATGGTTAGGAAGCCACAACATAGTAACAGGCAAGTGCAAATCTATAATAACATGGGAGCAGGTCAACTACAGCATAAACTTTATATTTTTCGACCACAAAAAATCCACCTTTGAGAAAAATGTTGTCAGGGATTGGTAAACATATTATCTAAGAATTCTTTGATACATTTTTACTTGCCATAGAACCTATCAACAAAATTTCCAGTGCACGTTTGATGTAAGCCTCCAAATGCTTTATTTAGATAACAGTGATATTAATTGTTATCATCACAAGCATGGTGTAGGCATTGCCAAAAACGAACAGGCATATCATATATCATTGATGCAGGTAATGCTGAATCTAATAGGCATAAGCCATTGATGGTTTTGAAAGTATGCTTAAAAACGTTAATCTGATCACAAAAGCATACGGATATAAAGGGGGGAAATTATGATTAATTCTGTCCTGGAACATCGTGATTCCGAGCAGCAGTAAACATAGACACTTCCCTCGACTCTCTCTGATTAATGAAATTTTCTTCATAAAACTAACCATTAGCAAATCATAATTGTACGAATGCCTTAAAAGTTTGAAGTTACAGGGAAACTAACCCAAAACGTTTTATGAAAGATCTATATGCTGGTAATAGAACTTCAGCAACGGCAAGCCTCAGAGACTCACGCAACTCTGGGTCTGGTACTGTCCATTGGGTCTGTCTTTGATGAAGCTCCTCAAACTGCACATTGAAAGACTTGAACCTGATGAAGCAAAGTAAGAGTCAGCTTTGACAGTTCTTTACGAAAATATATGTACAAGAGTCAACTTCGACAATTCATTACGATGGTTGGTGACCTCTCTTTTATTGCTGATCGGGAGACTCCACTGCTACTACTTCCGTCACCTCCTACAGCACTGCCTCCACCTGATGAAGTCAAACCTTGAGCAGAAAGGCTCTGCAAAATCTGTAGAAAAAGTAGATAGGAAAAAAAAGATTTTTTTAATAAGTTCCAAGAAAAAGATCAATATCGTGAAGGGTCTATGCTATTGTAAGAAATATTAATCCATATGAAGTTTAGTTTGTCATATCAAAACCTTAGCCCAAGCAACCCTCTTATATTGATTTGCATTTTGCTGCACAACCCTTCGATGTCTTTGAACCCAGTCATCGCCCAAAAGATCCTTCGCTTCAGATCTGAAAACAAGGAAAGAGATTGCTTAGTTTCCCTCTTACTTTGGATGTCTTATTTTTCTAACATTATATAAGCGTACCTTCGAACCGATCTGACCATATAGTGGATGTTATTCATAAGGAACAGATGAGTCAGAGCAGGATCCCTATATTGCTTAGATTTTCCGTCCAGGTTACTCTGAAGAGCTTGCATAATGCGCATGGTTACAATTGCCAGCTGAGAATTTGAATTTTCCTCAGTTTCGAACTCTTGGAACAACTGCTTCAGTGTGGACTGGTAGCTGTACATAAATGATACACACCTTGTTAAGATAAATAAGCTTACTAATTGGCCTGCTTAAAAAATCAACTATCATAGATAACAACTACAGGATGCAATAGTTTCATAATTTGTAAGTGAACAAGAATATTGAACTGGAATGCAGAAGCAGGTATTACAACATACTTCATTCTGTTTGAAACAAACATCTATTCGAGTAATTGAGTTAACGCATATTAATTAACATTAGTTTCTATTCAGCTATAAAACATCTATTCAGGAAAAGGTTATCATGAGAGCCATATTAGTTATTGCAAATGTTATAACTTATAAAGGAACAATCACATATGTTATTGAAGACATTAAAAAATAACCAACTTTAATTTGGCTGACACAACAAGTGAAGGGATCAGATTTAAGAGTACATGATCATTTTGCTTGTACATAAAGAATGTTCAGCTTAAACTTGGTCGAACTTTGAGATTAACAATAAACTTTATAACTAGATTCCAGATCCTACTTTTACAGTGTATTGGCTAGTGGCTTCTATAGCAGATCGCATTGGCTCTAATTGTAGAAGATAGTTTTCCCTAGTGTCTCTAGGTACTGCCATGGCATGCACCCCAAACCATGACAGCAGCTACTGTGCATACTACATCGCCACTGTTAGAAACACTGTTTGGGTGGAAGAAATAGATGTACTTGAGGCACTTCCTTTGAGAGATGTATAACTTCAACAAAAATTTACAATCATATCAGTCATAATACAATGCACAGAGAAGAATGACAAGTTATATCTATATAGATATGACGGAACAATAATAACTTAACAGTGAAAGAAAGTAAATATTTGTTTCTATTCAGGAGAATCAAAGAAACATAAGACTGCTGTGTACAAAGCAATATGATTTTGAAGACTAGATAAGAAAACAGAGCTACGCATGTACTTACTCAAAAAGAAACTTCACATAATTTATAACATAGCTAGTCAGAGGGTGCACGGTTCCATCTTGCACAGATGTTTTTGTAGCATCCTTTTCAACTGCTTCTTCAAAATCACCAAATGTCTCTTGGGCAGTCTGGGCTAAGCGCCTGGTCAAACTAAGTGAAGCTCCACGCATATCCGCACAGGCTTTGCCCTCAAAAATTGCTTCAATCTGATGAATTGTTTCAGGAAAAAGATTAATAAATTGTCCATGAGTAATAAATTATCCATAAGTAACACCTTAGAGCATTTATCAAATTTCGTGATTTTCATGGGAACAATTTTTATCAATTTTCTTTCTTCGACACAGTGGCAAAAAAATATGCGTGCTTCAAAATTCGTGATTTTCATGGATTAATTCATGATTTTTGTCTACCTTTGTTTGTTTTGACCAAATATCAATTAATTGTGCGAACTTCAATATTCACGATTTTCATGCACTATAATCCACGATTTTTATCCATTATCGTTCATTCGACCCAGTGGCACTAGTTAAGAATTTTCAATTTTGATTGATTAACCCACGATTTAGACAATTTTTGTTCGTTTCGTCCCAATTGCAAGTAATTATACATACTTCAAAATTCACAATTTTCATAGGCTATAACCCACGAATTTTGTCAAGTTTCGTTTGTTTCGATCATGTGGCAAATAACTTGTGTACTTCAAAATTCGCGATTTTCATGGCCATTACTCAGAATTTTCAAAAGTCACAAATTTCATATGCTATAACCCAAATTTTTTGTTACTTTTCTTTTGTTTCTATCTAACAAACGATT